CAGACAACCAAATACTATAGAATTTTGTTTTACAGTACCAACTTATTAAATTAAATTTTAACTTAATAATTATAATCTTATTAATGCATTAATAATTAAAATATTTATTTTTATTTTTATTAAAATCTTAATTAATTTAAATTATGTGTTATATAAAAATTTAATGAGTGATAAATTATATTTATAAAAATTTTATCCATCATTCAAGAAAATAAAAAGTAATAATTTTTTTCTAAATGGATTGTAATTATTATTTAAGATAATTATTACTTTACTTTTTTAAAGAGTGATCAACTTTATATGGAAAAACTAAACCAATATTTATTTTCTCTTCTTTTATAAAATTTATTCTTATATTTTATTTCCAACCTAATTTCAAAAGATTTAAGGGTTAAAATACAATAAAACTCAATACCCACAAAAAAAAAAAAAAAAGGTGACAGTTGTTGGGCGTCAATTTTTATTGAATGATTCATATGGGTAATTGACAAAAACGAAAATGAGTGCAATACAAAAAGAAACCGAGTTGAAAGAGAAATGGGGAATAAAGAAAGAAACCCAAATGTGAAACTGTGAAAAATACCCATTAACAAAGCTTAAAAAAGAGAAATGGAGAATAAAGAAAGAAACCCAAAATGTCAAACTGTGAAAAATACCCATTAACAAAGCTTGCTTAATCACCAAAATAAAAAAAATTAAAAAAATTTTAAAAAAAAGTGGAAACCGTGGAAATAAAGCCGTGTTTGGTTGGGCAGAGAAAAATATTTAAAAAATGTTGTAGAATAATAGTATCCATAAGTATATGCTACACGTTTTTATTCATAAATTTACAGAGAGGCAAAAATGAAACTTAGCGCCTAAGTTTTCTCTTTTTTTTTTTGTTTAATAAAAAAATTTCCTTTTCTTTAAGTTGGTGGAAGTTGTTTGAAAACTATTCTAAATATATCTTATTTAATTTGAAATAATTAATTTATCAAACACGATAGTTTTTTATTATTATTGTTAAGAATTTTTTCAAGGACGAAGAAAATTAAAATTTTCATTAATTTTATTTATTTTAAATTAATAATTTAATAATATACGTTTTTATTTTTAAAAATAATTTATCATTATTTAAAAAATAAATATAAATTATTATTAATAATATAATTTTTATAAATTTAAATAAAATTAAATTCAAATTAATAAATAAAATAAATTATAATTTTTATATTTATTTTTAATAATTATTATATTAAAAAATTTAGATAATCATTTTTTGTGAGAATACTTTAATATATGTCTATTTATATATATAAGCTCTTAGCCTTATACAAAAAGTTAATATCATTGATAAGTACAAATCAACTTTTAAACTCAATGTAAAGTTCATATTTTTTGAAAAAAAAATTATGTGCAAGATTATGAAATTATTTCATGATTTTTTAAATTCAAGTCTTATACAAGTAAGATATAATTAATGAATAAAATTGATAATTTGGAATAAATTTGTTTAGTAATGTAATGCCTAGGTCCAAAATTTGGCACCGGATTAATTTTCGTATTTATAAAAATAATTAAAAATATTATTTTACTTTTGTTTTATTAAATTATTTAAAAAATAGAATATAGATGAAATTGAAAGCAATTTTAAGAAATATTGATGAAACTTTAAGTTCGGGAAGTATTTTTTTTTAAAAAAAAATTAGAAATAATGGGTTAAAATGCAAAAAAAAAAAAAATTTAATCGCGTGGTACGGCCCAGTCAGCAACCACAGCGAACCAGAGCACGTCACGTGCTAAAACAAGCTGACATCAACGCCACACGGACAATCCGCGTGCCCAATGATCCGATGATCCATATTCAATCCCACGCGCGTGAACGGCTCAGATACATTCAGTCCTTATGCGCGATCAGATGGACGAGATCAATCGCGATGAATAGTTCAGATTCCCCCACGTAATTGGCCTAAACAAGCAACGATCGGACGACTCTCCTCGCTCCATGTCAATGCGAATGGACGGCCAAGATCGAGGCAGGATAAATATAAACATCGCGTTGCATGAGAACCCTACCTTAGCCCCACTGCCCTCGCCGAAAA